AAATAAACACGTGATAGTAATTCTGGGTGCTCAGCATGGTTTAGACATGGAAGATCTAGCTACGGGAAAAGCCCCCGATTTGCTATCCACACGCATCTATACTTCTCTCCTAGCTGTACTGTGGCTGATATTGTTAATCACATGCTGTGGTATCAAAACAGACTCATGGTATCTGCTCGCCGTCGGTGGATTGGGCATGGCGCAGAATCTGATAGTCGCGAGCGTACCGCGGACTCCCGCAGCGCTTGGTCTACCTATCGAGCTCGTTAGCAATGGAAATGAAGACCAGATTATTCCGGAGATTTTCGCAGAGCCGAAAGTGATGTGGACGATTATGGAATTTGAGGTAAAGCATCGCGGGCGAGGCAACGCTCTCGTAAAGGAGTTTTTTCCTGGAAAGTTGCTGGATTGGGAAGAAAAGTGGTGGAATACTGATAGTATGGATGAGAGAAGGGAGCTACTTGAAGGAGCGCGGCGCAAAGCATGGAGGAAAGCACATGAGGCGGCACGAATGGAGAGGGAGAAGGAGGAGAAGCAGCTCCAGAAATAGTAGAATAAGAGGGAGTAGATATCTGCAGAAACTTTACTTAAAAGATGAATGTTCGTTGCAAAAGCTTCATCTCAAATGTAGTCTCAGTAAACATATCCCGCTCCTGTCAAGACAAACCAATGCTTGCCTTCTGAAACCCTAGCAACCAAATACTGCACATGCGCTGGATCTACTGGTCGATACAGATACACCGGATCACATATGCCTGAAATCTGCATATTTTTCCATAATTTCAATCCTGTCCGTTATAGCCCCATCAGAATAGAAAAGGAAATTCCTTCCAGGTACGGCTTTATGCCAATCCCACAAAAGCAGAGATACTACCCGTGAGGATAAGACCAGAAATTACCACCAGAAAGCCAGTCCAAACTTTGAATTCTTTTCTTCTTTCTTTCAAAAAAAAAAAAGAAAGAAAGAAAGAAAGAAAGAAAGAAAGAAACAGTTTCGACTGCATCAGTTCTTCTGGGGAGGTTCAGATGTACTCACTAAACACTGACAGAATATACTGAAATGACCTCGCATGATAGATACTAATATACCTCAAATAACCTGTAGAATGAGACCTGCACTATGAATCACTCCTCACGCTCACCTCATTCATATATCTAAACTTCAAAAGTTACACACCTCATAAATCAGCAGGATCGCATGCATAGCAATCTCATCAATCACCCATCGAATCCTCAAAACCGGAACACATCTTCCCCTCTCATCTACTTCCTCGAGCTTCATATCAAAGTAAACCAACGACCATCCATCCATTAAAAAATCCCCAAAATAAAAAACTTCCAATCCACCAATTTCCCTCTCTCGCTCGCTAAAGCAAAGCCCCGCCCCCACTTCTTATGTATATCCACCACCCCTCCACCCCCACCAACCAAAGAAGACTTTTTTCTCATTTTTTATCCAAGCAAACACCTTTTTTGTTTTGTATATATTTTATGATTCCTTTATTAGAATCAATAAATTATCAAACAGCGTTTGTGGTTTAGTGGTAAAATCCATCGTTGCCATCACTCTCTTCTCTTATTGGAAGAGAGCGAAAATAATTTCGATGGGCCCCGGGTTCGATTCCCGGCGAACGCATTGTTTTTGTTGTTTTATTTGTACTTTTGTATGGATAGATAAATTAATGAATCGCTGACTGGCTGGCTGGCTATATTTCGATGTACGGTACGTATGTATATATATATATATATATTCGTAGTCAATTTATTTTCTTTTTCACTTATGACTAGTTAGTTCCCAACTTCTTCCCAACTACCTCCTCACTCACAGTTATAAAATTCCTAAAATTTTATGAGATCCACGCACGCTGAATTCAATATAATATCTATCTTTCTCCCTCGGAGACCCCATCTTCGTATCAATCATCCCAAGCCCTCATATTCTCTGTTCTGTTTTCCTCCTCCAAGGTCCCTTTCGAGTTCCCTTCCTTTTCAAATCTCTCCCTCAATCCCCGTCTTCGCCCCTGGCGCCCCCAATCGAAGATACCATCCTACTTTTAATTCTTACTTCCCTTTATTCCATTCCGTCTCCTCTATTCTCTTTCATTCCCTTCCCTTCTCCCTACTCCCCTTTCAACCACCCCCCCTCCCCACTCATCCTTCAAGCTCCCCTTATAGAACCATCAAATTACTCTCCCTTGAGACGTTGTTACTGATCTATACCCCCTGTATCAACCATATCTACAACAATCACAATATTATATATATAAAACAATTCCCGATTTGTAATTTCCAATTTCTAAATGTTTAACTAAAATTTGGACTTCCAAAAACACGCATTCTTCACAATTAAAGAGGTCTAGAATCGGTGAACTGCCCAAAGCACACATTATTGCCAACATCGCTCTTCGTCTCGGTGAAATTGTCGAGCACATATAATAAGATAATAGATATTCAAAGATGGACAGATATGGTATCACATGTGCGTTGAAGAGCGATAGGACGAGTTCAATTATCCTATTGGTTTCGTGCTATTCTTCAAGAAACAAAGCTCATCTTGAGTGAATGCCTGATCTACTCCTCAGGTTCCGAAGACCTTTCAAGGAGTAATAACAAACTTTCCCACACCCCCCTTCCCAGCAAAAACCTCTTGACAGCCTTTCCTAACACCGTCAATATCCTCAAGCTTAACTTCAGAGCCTACAATTGGTCTTAGCTTCCCTTCTTTGATCAACTCCCCTAGCTTTTCCAAGTCCTCCCGACTTGGTTCCATCATCAGATAACTATAGCTTCTTCCATTCCAACTGGCCCACGTTCTTAAACTCCAATCCAAGAAATCCATAATTTTCACCATCCACCAACTTAAATTAACCTCAACACCCCCTTCAGATACCTTAGCGGTATGGCGATTCATACGCTCGATAGTTTCGGTGCCACCGGGTATCATAGAAATAGAGACTATGACTCCTCCCTTCTTAACAAGAGAGCCAAGAGAAAGTGAGCAAGATGTTGTGTCGAAGAGGAAATCTACACTCTCTTTCCCTATTGTCTTTACGACATTTTCTTTCGTATAATCTACTGCTTCGATTCCCTTCCCTAGCAATTCCTCTACTCTACCAATCTTTCCAGTACTTAAAGTGGTAATGACTCTTCCAGCTCCAAAGACATTCTTGGCGAGCTGAACAGCGATACTACCCGTTCCGCTCATACCAGCAGGGATAAGTACAGTCTTACCTTTTAATCCGCCGGGTAAATGACTATCTGCTCCGAGTACAGATTGATAGGCTGTCAGTGCTGCGAGTGGCACAGCGGCAGCTTCGGAATGGGAAAGGGAGAATGGCTTTTGAGCTACAGCTGCAGAAGTCGAGAGACAGTATTGTGCTTATATAGAAGTCAATTAAGTTAATTACACACTGGGGTACTTTACAAAGCTAGGAAGAGGGGGATCCAATGACCGGAAACCTGAATTAGAGGGATAGCACATACCAATGGTTCCTCGGTGACGTTCAGGTACGCGAGAGTAGACTGTGTCACCGGGCTTGACGTGGGTGACAGAAGAACCAGTTGAGACGACAGTACCCGATACATCGTAGCCCATCAAGTAAGGGAACCTAGAAAATATCAGAGACAAGTAGAGATAAAACGGAGAAATGTGAGGCTCGATGGAAAATCGCCTAGAACTGCAGCAGAATTACATCTGTACTTCTGAACTTCATGAAAATACACATTTTAGGACATCTTGAAGGGTGTAAATTATTCGCAGGACTAGATAGCATGATCATGTCTTGCGCATGAGAACATCTCAGATATAGCGTAGACTATGATTACTTGATATAGTCTCGACCACACACTCCTCATCATGGGATTGACTTCCTTCATCCATCGATGTCACAGTAGAGAAAGTACGTACTTAACATCGAACATCATTTTTGCATACCCGCCCGCCATCTTGACATCAATGGGATTGACACTAGCCGCTTCCACTTTGATCAAGATATCATTTTCATGCGTGATTTTTGGAGTTGGAATGGTTGCTATGTCGTATGTATCTGGTTTTCCAAACGTGGAGAGAGCGAGTGCACGCATTGTTGTCGGAACCTGGGTGGCGAACTTGGATGCCATCTTTGATCAAGAGTGGAGAAAAGTATAGAAAAGAAAGTAGAGTAGAGTAGGCTCAGAAAAGAATATATTGGCTTCGAAAAAGGATAGTTACCACAATATATAATGACATTGAAAATAGAGGGAATTAAAGGAGACTTTTCTTCTAGGTGGATATAATTGAAGGAGGAAAGTCCGTCCGACTCGGAGACTTTTTGATATGAAGAATGAGCTTTGATTGGGCGGGGCATGTGACGAACGACGGGAAGGGATCGAGAATTAGAAATCAAGATCATAGTAGAGTCACGCTGGTGATTCTTGTAATACTTTATATTGATAGGAATCCAAGGGTTCATGAAATGAAGAGGGAAGTTGTGTTGTAACGAGATGGAACGGGACAATTGCTCTCCGAATAGGATCAAAAATCACCGATTCGAAGAAACCTTCTACAAACCTTCTACCTGTATCAATAGATCATGAAAGGACGAAGTACTTTAATAAAATATCAGTGATGGAGGAAACTGTGTACCAGTAGGTGATCATTTCGAGTGCATACCAATTACTAGGTAGGTATCAACAACATATCGATAACATCTCAAAGTCACGTGTAACTTGACGCAACCACAATTCTTGAAATTTTATGTCCTCAACCTCAACTCTCTCTCATCCTCTGAGACTTTCGGTCTCAATGTTCAACGACACTTCTTTTTATTCTTCGTCGAATTCTCGAATCATTCTTTGATCCTCTCGGAAGGAAAAGGATCGAGACAAAAGCTTGCCTGGTAGCCACTTCGATTGCCTACCCAAGCAAGAGATTCCCACTACACGTGCTAATTACCCAACCTCTACATCTCTCAAACATAATCCCTCTACACACTCACTTGACAACAATCTCCAGTAAAATCATGGCTCTCACTCTAAAACCAGTAGATGTTCCATCCTTCTGCACAACTCAACTTCACCTCTTGGACCAAGAACTTCAATCCGAGCTGTCCGAAACTTCGACCCTCATAACTGGAACTTCACCTACCTCCCTGCAGCGGGCTGGACTTGCTATTACCAATCTCGTTTTGATATCTCAAAGAACGGGATTGGGTGGAAAAACTGTTGTTGAGTTAGGCCCCGATCCGGCAACTTCTAGTTCTGGCTCTGGAGGGAAAGGTAAAGGTGGTAGTGGGGGTTCGGGAGAAGGTGAATTACAAGAGCATGGGATACGGGTCGGTGATATTGTGGCAGTCAGTGAACAGCCCAGTGGTAGCGCAAAGAAGAGGGAGGTCAAAGAGTTAGAGGAGAAGGGAAGTAGAGGTGTGGTTACTAAGGTAGGGAGGAGTGCGGTGTGGGTTGCGCTGGATGAGAATGGGAAGGGCGAGGAGAATGTTGGGGGTATGAAAAGATGTTGGGTGGTCAAGCTAGCAAATGATGTTACGTACAAGAGGTTTGTTCATTCTATCTTGATTTGGTCTGCTGGATTGATGGCCGATGGAGTGAAAGAAGAATGGGGTGGGTTGCTAATTGATAACTTAGAATGAATGGTACCATAGGAAAGTTGGCGAGGATGCAAGAAGCGGAATATTCGAATTTCGTAAGGGTTTTATTTGGATTGTCATCACCTTCGCCAGTTCCAGAAACCCTGGGGGATGCGGGAATTGAGTGGCTGGATCCAAGTTTGAATGATAGTCAAAAGCATGCCATTAAGTTTGCACTTGCTTCGAGAGAAATGGCTTTGATTCATGGGCCACCTGGAGTGAGTATCCTATATTTCTTTTCTGGCATTCAGCGGGTCATTTTAAAGTATTTATGAAGGCTCTTCCATTAGGGCGAGCACTATCAAATATGACCGCAATGGATGATGGTACCGCGGTTACAGTTTGTTGAACCACGAAAATCACAATTAGCTTTAACGGAGATGTTGGTAAAATTTCAAGAATGATAGACGGAGGAATCATGCCGCTTGAAGACTTTGCTAACAATTGACAGACTGGAAAAAACCCATACCTTGATTGAGCTTATTCTGCAGATGCTCAAGCAAAATCTCAGAGTCCTGGTGTGTGGGCCATCCAATATATCCGTAGATAATATCGTTGAGCGACTTGCACCACATAAGGTACCTATTGTACGCTTGGGTCACCCCGCGAGACTTTTGCCATCAGTTGTCAATCATTCTCTTGATTTTCTTACACAAACTTCAGAAGCGGCTGCGATTGTGCAAGATGTCCGAAAAGAAATGGATACCAAACAAGCTTCAATAAAAAAGACCAAGAGTGGTAGAGAAAGAAAAGCTATATATGGCGATCTCAAGGAACTTCGTAAAGAGTTTCGAGAACGCGAAAGGAAATGTGTCAATACGTTGGTGGGCGGTTCAAAAGTCGTACTTGCAACCTTGCATGGTGCTGGAGGATTTCAACTGAGGGATGAGAAATTTGACGTTGTGATCATTGATGAAGCTAGGTAAGAGTGTAATGCTCTCTTTGGATTCGCGTCACCCAAATCCAATCATCTATGTCGTGTTTCTCTCTTTACTTTTTCTAGGCGTCTGTTGTCTTTCTCGGCGATTCTCCCTTAGAAAAATAATTACTGACTTCTTATGCTATAGTCAAGCTTTAGAAGCTCAATGTTGGGTACCTTTACTATCAGCCAGTAAAGTTGTTCTTGCCGGAGATCATCTCCAGTTGCCGCCAACAATCAAATCACTAAATTCCAAGACCAAAACGAAATCACAAGACAAGGAGGCAGAGGGTATCATTAAGGGGATGACTTTGGAGACCACTTTGTTTGACAGATTACTAAAATTACATGGCACTAAAATAAAAGTCATGCTCACTACACAATACCGCATGCATGAGAAGATCATGAGATTCCCATCGGACGAGTTATATGAATCAAAACTTGTCGCCGCTGAAGCAGTCAAGGCACGACTTCTCACAGAACTACCGTATGATGTCGAGGAAACAGAAGATACTATTGAGCCTCTGATATTCTTCGATACCCAGGGTGGGGACTTTCCGGAAAAGAGTGAAGAGGAGAGTGCTGATAAGAAAGCTGGGAAGGGAATGTTAGGTGAAAGTAAAAGTAACGAAATGGAAGCGATTCTCGTGAGACGACACGTCCAGAATCTTGTCGATGCTGGATTGAAGGCAGAAGATATTGCAGTTGTGACGCCATACAATGCTCAGGTAAGAATGATAGCAGTTTTTCGTACCTCATAATCCTGCCTCTGGAAGTAATACTAACTCAGAAAGCTCGCATTGATGTCTCGATCGATGAAGGAGGCCTTTCCCGGTATCGAACTGGGCAGTGTTGATGGGTTTCAAGGAAGGGAAAAAGAAGCAATCATTGTTTCCCTCGTTCGAAGTAATAGCGAACGCGAAGTGGGATTTTTAGGAGAGAGGCGCAGACTGAACGGTACGTCCACCCCTTTTGCATGAATTTCTTCATCTGTTCTCTGATTCTAGAACCATTGAACCCTTCTTTGCATGAACTTCGTTGAACACCCGCCCCCGCATCCCAGTATGATCACTGTTAAAGCAGATCTCCCGCAAACCAAATCCAACGGGGTTCTTGGGCTATAGCATGTTTGATGATCAACCTCACACAACGAATGCCAAGCATTTACACTTCCAAATATCTACTCGTATGCACAAATACAAATGAGGAAATCATGATCATGCAACTGATGTAACCTGCAAAAATTTAGTCGCTATGACCCGACCCCGACGCTCACTGACAATCATTGGTGATTCGGAAACTGTCTCGAGGTAAGTTCAGACCTCCTTTTCATCTTCTTATACTCTGTATATATTTATTTACTTGATCCAATCTGGTTGAGACCATATGCTGACAATTGATGTATGATCGATGCAGAGGTAGTCAATTTCTCAAACGATGGATGGGCTTTCTGGAAGAAAATGCCGACTTACGATACCCATCGATAGCGGAGTTGAACTCGTAATGACAATCAATCAAATAAGATTTCGGTTGAAAGATCCAAAAACCGTTACACCCTCAAGGGCACTCTAGTTCCCGTACCAAAGTTTGAGATCCATGAAAGAAATTATGCAGTTAGTCCGTATGCATGGAGCTTGGAGGATTGCATTGCATTGCATTGCATTGCCTCGGAAGCTTTTAGCTTTTCGCGTTTCTTTTTTTGATCGGTCTTTGCTGATGACCCACACAATTTGTCCAGAAACACCATCGCGGTCGTGCCACGCGATTTGGTTCTTTCCTCTTCGAGAAGAGGGTGTGCATCAGACGAATGACGAACTCGATATCATGAACCCCTTGTAGTTTCACGTAGAGTATGCAGTATGGCAGTGGCACGGTTCCCAAGGTGTGCTTCGTACAGAGATGATTTTGAGTAATCCACCTTCTATCTCCAAAGGACTTGATAACCCGTTACTTTGGGGAAAAAAAAGAAAAAAGAAAAAAATGGAAAAAAAAGGATTCTTACCATAAAGTCAAAGACCCCCAAATTTTGATTATTCATCGCGGCGTTAGCTGTCCCATCTGTAGGTACTGTACCGAGTATATTGCACTGAAAGTATAAAGACAATATGAACTGACCTATCGCATCTTCATGGGTTGACAAAATTGTGGGGGTGTTGAAGTTTTATTATTTAGTTTTGAAATTGAATCTTGATGTGATGTGATAGTGACTTGATTTGATATGATAGGTTAGTTGATATGAGATGAGATGAGATGAGATGAGATAGCATTTCTGGACTCTACCGGTACTCTAGAGCGAAGACCAAGACCCAGACGAAAGTCGAAGCTTGGTAGAAAGAAAGAAAGAAAGGAAGTAAGTAAGTCTGAAGATTTATGCCGCGTGCCGTGTAGATACTAGAAAAAGTTAATCGTAAATTGGAGATTGGAGATTGGAGATTGCAGATTGAGTTCCCGTTTGTACTCTGTTGGTTTTTTTTTTGGTTTGCGCTAGGTAGGTATTGCTATTGGAGATTGCTATTGGGGATAGAGACGGTATATGTAATGTCATGTCATGTAAGTAACTAAGCATCCGCTCGAATCTGGATTGCGAGTAGAGAGACTAGCAGGTTTTTACTGGTTTGGTAGGGGTGACGCTATTGATCTCTATGGAGCATGCTTTGATAGGGTGTAGGTATTGTTAATTCATCGCTCTGCTGCTGTGCGCGCGGATTGTGGTTTGGTTTGTTTGTTTTGAGGAATGGGAAGATGGATGATGGATGGGTGGATGGGTGGGTGGGTGCTATGTACTGTGACATGTAGATTCGGGTAAATAGGTATAGATATATATATATCTCACTAAGGGAGGGTATTGATTATAAACATTTCATTGATATTGGTTGACCTTGATCTTGGGTTGTAAGATACTATACTGTACTGTATCGGTATTCGGTAGGTTATAAGTATATATATATCAAGTTAAGATATATCATACAGAGTATGTGTAGCAGCGAGATGGAAGGATTGTTGTCATTGTGTTTCTATATAATTATACTAGCCGTATTTACTTGATTCCATATACTTACGCGATATAGTTGCTAGCGTACATCATTTTCACATAATCTACTCTGCATCAAAGGGTGGGTTCATGTATTCATCGATTGGGGATAGGATACAAGTCCGCTTCCCCTGAATATGCGATACTGCGATGATACATATATACATACCTGTATGGACCTCGAGTACTACTTGGCACCGTATTACTCTGTAGTATGACGATATGGAAGGAAGCGCAGCGTGTGTGGAGATTTGGATGCGTAGAGTGTGATTCGGGAAGGGGCCCTGGGATTGTATAGATTGATGTTTGGTATTATACCTAACTTATGTGATGGATGAGAGGTAGGTGGGATGAGAGGTGGGTGGGATGGGTGAGGTGCAGTGTAGTGCATGTTTAACCGTTATCTAGGATAGAGAGGAGGAAGTATGTATGTATGTATGTATGTATGTATGTATATATGTATGTATATATATATATATATGAAGAGACGAAAAAACTAAGGAAAGATTTTCTTGAAAAAACCTATTAATCTTTACTACATTCGAATCAGAATATTATTTTCTACTTTTTTTCGAAGTCGCCGAATTGATACTTATTTGGGTTGGGGAGATATTATTGTTGGTGTTGAGGAGGGGGGTTTAGTATACTTATATTAGAATCATTAATATCAATATTATTAATAACAAGCTTACTATATCGAATATAATTAATAAAAGAGGTTAAATTATAAATTCCTATAATGATCCGGGCTTTTCAGTACTTGGAGGCCTTATGGGGGGGTTTCAATTATAAAGAAGAAGGTTTTTGAGCATAGGAAAATAAAGGATGAAAATTCTTCAAAAGGCTTTGCTTTTTTCAAGAAATATTTTATAAGAAATATATTAATATAATATTTGATATTCTACTAATATACTTATAATTACTCTATATAATAAAGAGAAAAGTCAGACCTTTTGAAAAACATTTATAATATATTGATTTAAATGTATGGCATTTTATATTAGTATATAATATTATTACGAAATATCGATTTCGATATTACCTTGTATAGTAGATAATATACCATTGATTATAATTAAAGAAATAATAATCCTTCAATATAAAGTGTATATTACTAAAGTAATAGTATTTCAATATTATTATATTTACTATTTCGATCTTATTCAATCATTTAGCCTTATGATATAATCTTGTTCTTTATATCAATAAAATAATCTAATAGATTCTAATATATTGTATTCTATATTAATAAAATAATTCGGTGGGAGGAAAGGGAATGGGAGATATTAGGTTTTAAAAAGAAATTATATATTATTGATATACTATAAGAGAAGGTGGATATAAGGCTTATAAGTAATAGATTAGGGATTATAACAGGATTCCCAAAGGACTCGAAATACCAGAGGGTAAAGACAACCCTTCGAAAGGGATACAACATTATAATTAACCATAGCTTTTATAATATTTTGAAAAAGTTGAATAAAAAGAAGGGGATTATTATAATAAAATAAAAAATATAAAGTTTTTATAGGTATATCAAAGGATTTAATAAAAAAAAGGTTTTTGAATATAATAAATCTACAATATAAACAATTCAAAGGATTTGAAAGAATTACTTGGAAGATTGTTTATAGATTTTAATAAAAAAGTTCAAAAAGGAATAAGTTTTTATTTCCTTTTCCCATCTACCTTATTCAATTAGAACCATATACAGGTATATCGTATAATCTTAGTATAGCTATATAGACCAAATCGATTATGAATTTACTATTATTACTACTATATATATGAATAGAGCTTGGTGAAGATGTAGGTTCATAATTCGGGATGGTAAAATAGGAGGTATTGTTTTATTTGTATGAGTGTGAGGATGAGTGTGTGAGTGAGTAATCTTAATATATAGAGTAGTTCCTTACCATGTGAATAATGATTTACGGGATTTACAGGATTTACAGGATTTACAGAGACACGATTTACATAGGGACAATAGTAATGATACTAAACATCCCGCTTTGGATGAAGGGTTGGGTGGTTGGAGTGTACTCTGTAGATATCTACTCGTAAGTATTTCCACTTCCACTTCCACTTCCACTCACAGAACCCATCACAACATCCATACCATCAATACTAACCATATCAACCATACTAACAACCATATCAACCATACTAGCCAAATACTACCCATAAACACTCATCAACCTCCAACACACCCTGCATGAAGACTACCGCCCGTGCTCCACCACTCATCCGCATCCATCAACCATCACGCAACATCCATCAATCAAAATCGATTTCCTCTCTTCCTCATTCAAAGATGGAAAGGCTTCAAAAGCAAGTATAGTGGATTGACGGCACCAAAGACTAATAAGGATTTCATATCCTTTCTCTCCCTAGATACTTTACTCTTTTCGGATGAAGGTGGGAGTTCTAGTTCATCAAGGGAAAGAAAAGGAATTTTCGCATGGTTTGTTTACTATTCAAGGTCCTCGAGTAGGTAAAGCTATATGTACATATCACCCGAAGATTAGGGTGTTTCGGTTGTTGATGGATTGATTGATTCAATGAGATTATTATTAAGTTATCACTGGGGGTTTAGCTTTTTTTCTTCTTCTTCTTCTGCTTCTTCTTGAGGAAATTATGATTCTCCCTTTTGGGGATTTCCACTTTTGACATGTACCTAGGTATCTATCTAACTGTGTTCGTCTCAAGTAGTCGGAATGTTGAATTCCAGATGATGGACGATGTATGTATGAATGAATGAATAGATGAATGAATAGATGAATGTGTATGTATATGGGTGTATGGGTGTATGGATGTATAGAGGTATGGGTGTATAGATATATGAATGATATATAGATATGTGTATGATACCTCAATAATTCAACCCCTCTAGACTTGAGCACTCGAGCTTCAAGTCTCGTGGGGTAAAATTATTGTGCATTGCAGGTGCAGACAACAACTCATACCTCTCTAGGTCCATAGCTTAAGCAAACTATTCACATTATCCTTACTATCCTTACTATTTCGTGCAGTCGCTTCTCGAGTAGGTTGGTACAATATCTTCTTCCTTGTTTTCGACACTGAATGAAATTTCACAAACGATACCACCAAGAAACTGCTACTCGAATAAACGCTGGGAGATGCTGGGTCAGATACTGCGAGATACTGCAAGTTACTGCGAGTTACTGCGGGTTATTGAAAGATATTCGTATCATTACCAATCTTTTCAATCCACCTCCCTCCAAGCTTCAATGCTTCAATGCTTCAATGCTTCAATGCTCCATACAGCCGCCTCAACAGGGATGAAAACGATCATTCTATTCAACCTTACCATTGTGGGTTTGGCTTGAATTCTTTAGTTCTATTCTTGAATCGATCTCCCCGTCCTTTCAATTTTCCTTCTTGTCATTTATCTTGTTTCATGGTCACTCCTTGTCAGTAGCTTACTTCTGTCGCAGAATATATGATACGTGTGATGCGCCCTGGATCGATAATGTTCCCTGGGTAGAGGGACCCATTGACCCGTTCCATTGAATAGTACGGAGTTGTTTAAGAGAGACCGCGAGAGGGATATATATATGTATATTTTCACATATATACTCGACTGTCGTACATTCAACCCTGAGGAGCGAGGATGAAATTTTAACATCGGATTCGACTGGGGAATCTGAGACTTTTCAATCTTCTCGTCGTTCGGAACTTGCGAATATGCCTAGGAGTCGTTCCACATCTATCAAACAATCCACTGTCACAATAGATTTATCCTTAATCCTCGACCCACTTATGAATACAATACAGGCAGACTGAAGGACCCGTTCTAATATCCGACTCTCTCAGTAAAATGAGTAAATTTACAAAGTCCCCAACCTGGAAGGCGGAAACTTCAGGTCGAGCAAATACCGCTTCGACCATTCGTGGAAAGATTTCTGCTCCCATTCCAATCCAGGACGACGACGAATTTCCCATTCGCTCTCCAGGGACTGGTATAGCAACGCCTCTTGGATCTCTTAATTCTGATGGAATCGACAAAGTTATGAGGGGGTCCGCCATTTCTGGCCGAGATAGTGCTCTGGCCCATGGAGACATTGGGACTGGTAGTTACATCGAACCACCCAGGCGAATGGGAACCACCCCTTTACCATCCGATCGGCCATCATATAATGCCCCCTCACGTAGGACAGAAGATTATAGCATTCCAAGGAGCTCATCGCCTGTTGGCAGACCATCAGGGTCAACACTCTCGAAGCCTGCGCGAAAGAAGTCGACTTTCAAAGGAGTCTTGGGAAAATTATTTGGCAAGAAAAAGAAGGATGCTACAAATAAGAAGCAGAGCGTGGGTGCTCTGCAGAGTGAACAGCATCACCGCAGTGTGAGTAGAGGCATGTTGCGTTACGTTACTATTGTCTAATAATTTGTAGGACCCATCTGCGCTCAGGCGAAGTCCACTGAATACCGCGACCTCCCCCAAACGATCTACTTCCATGCCGATCAACGAGTTTAATCGAGCCCTCCGATCGCATTCTCCTTTTGCAGACACCAGCTTAAAGGAACAGATGAATACAGAGCGGGACCCAAATCGCATATCCACACAAACACAAAGTACAACGACAAGAACAAGGGTCACAACGGGTAGACTATATACTCCAGATAAAACACCAGGATATATGAATTGGACGGGACTTTCACCACGACCTGCAAGCGCGCAAGCTAAAAGCAGTAAAGCTCCCTCTGACGAGGCGGTTCCTGGTTCAATTGGCATGGCAGTTACAATTAGCAGTCACCCAAATAGGCGTTCAAGGTCTCTTGGTCAATTGCGTGAAGCTGCAAGAATTGCGGGAGGAATCGATAGGCGTCGGAGCGATGAGATTCGTTATTGGAGAGCAAGCTACGATCCGGGGCCATTATCTCCATTGTCATCAGACAAAGCGGAAGTGGAGGAGCCTAGGTCAATAAACGATCCAGAAAGTCCACGAGTGATAGATTCTCAAGATCAACCACAACCTTTCAATTTTGGTCATTTGAGTGGATTAAGTGGCATGAAGATCACCCAGGCTGCTGACTTGGCAACAAGAGTTGACCGTATTGAGTCTAGATTGGTCGAAATGGAGAAGACGGTATTTCAGATTCATCGGCGAATAAACGAAAACGGAGACAACGTTGCACTTCAACATCCCCCCAAAGGAGGCAAGAGAAATCGCAGCTCTTCGGCTCGTCGTCCTCCAACTGATAATTCAGAAACAACTTTACCAGGCTTGCCCCGGCATCGACATTGGCACGAATTCGGAGCTCAAAACCGACTCTCGAATAATAATCCTCACCGCCCAACATCATCGTCTCATAATTCTTATCACCCTGATTTTGATGATACAATGCAAGCTCCATATGCTACAACGACAGATGAACGTGTGCACTTAACCAGCTCCCATACCACTGGTCGACCTCTTTCGACCTCGACTACCATTCGAGGTCTTCCATCTAACTCTCCTACCACCCAAAAAGATGCCCATTTAACGATGGAGCACTACAACAATTTAACAAACATGTTTTTAGCGGAACAATCAGCTCGCGAACAACTCGAAAGTATCGTTCTTACTTTACAACGACAAATTGCCTCTTATCCCTCGATAGCATCCACATCATATCCCACCCCTGACTCTGCTACTGGAGGTGGCCCTATTCTTGATACCACATCATCGTCCAAAGGAACATCTGAAGGCTTCGTCGTGGATAGTGATGATGATGATGTATACGCAGCAGGTTCCGAAGTTTTTCAAACCCCTAAAGAAGAATTAGGAGGTCAAAACTTTGGAGATGAAGTTTTTGGGACTGGAAAGGGTTGCGGAAGTGGCAGTTCAAGACTGACCCTTGACACTGGAAATAGTGACGCAAGGACGTTGAGTTTAAGCCAGATCACGATGGGGAAGGGTGTTCAACCTAGTTTGAACTTTTAAAGTCTAGCCATCCAAGAAAGGAGGGTTGCAGAAATAACTGGACGAGTTTTATATATCTCAGTTGCATCATCGCGTATGGATCCCCATCATTTTGTTTGCCTCGTTTGATTTTGACTTTCAAGATGATACCATGAACATCTGTTTATTTTTCTATTTTTTCTTCATATCCCATTCTCCTGCATTTTCATTTTTGTATTATATTATACGTAACCTGATTTCGAGCATGTCTTGCCTTTGCCTTTTATCTACACATCTTGAATCTCGTGGTCATTCCATCATGGAAAGTTTGATATTTTTTTTTTGTCAAATCTCGTTTGTTATTTTTCTTCCAAATGTATTTATAAAGGGGTTTTGAATGGAGTTTGGGTTGGATGACTGAATGGAATTGGAAATTTCCACTATTGTGGACAGAGGAAGGAGGGGAATGGGTGTCCCGATTAATTCGAGGTCGGCTTCTCCTTGTTATGTTCGTATTATTGTATATTTAGTGGTAGAATTAGGAGATGTGAATAGGGGGAAAATGTGGGATTAGAAGTGTGGGTGAAAAAGATTTTTGAGCATTTATATTTACAAAGCGAGTAGCTAGTTTGACTTGACGGGGATTTTGAATAAAAAGTATCAGGACCTAAATACCCAAATACATACATGGATTATCTCATCTCGAAGTATTCGATTACTATATATTTTATATATTAGATTGGTGACATTGAACATGTGGTAGATTGAATCAGGAGTTGTATATCTGATTATTCTTTTGACTAATTATTGGAAACTGAATGATGGTATGTGAATCGATTAGATTGATGAATAGACTAAGTTACTCGAGTAATAATAATAATAATAACAACATTGAAGATTGATGATCAAAGCTTGGGATTAGTTGATGATCAAGAATATAAAGAATGTATTAATATCTAACTATAGAATAAACACTAGCACTAGCATTTCTTTATAAGTAAATACCTAGGTATAGGTAGGCTTGACTATTCTCCAGAGTAGGTAGGCTCGTAGGCTGACCTCAGGAGCTTCGCGTAGTATCTTCAATAAGTAATAAACAAGCTTTCCCCGCCTCCGCGGGGGTTAGTTAGCGTCTTTTCCCATCCCTGCTGAACCGAGGCCGAGGCCGAGGCAAACTTGTCGGACCTCGTTCTTGTGTTTTAAATACAAGTGACGGTCTGCAGGTGTTGCACTGCATTTCCTTCCACAATTTCTCTTTGAAAAGAAGCGTGTATTGCCATCGGAAAGGAAAAGCGATTGTGTATTCACAATGGCAGGTCCCGTGAGACAACCCATTGATCTCCAAGCGCTGGAAAAGTATATCGAGAAGCATGTTCCTGAAATTCAGACGCCGATTGAGATTAAACAAGTATGTATGGTATTTGATGTTTTAGCTCAGTCCTTGTTATAACTTCTTAGTTCTTATTCCTTACTTCTTACTTCTTACTTCTCACTCCTCACTCCTCACTCCTCACTCCTCACTACTCACTACTCACTACTCACTCCTCACTCCTCAGTATTTGATACTCAATACTCAATGCTAATCCAACCAACCACCACAGTTCGGCTTCGGTCAATCAAACCCCACCTACCAACTCCTCTCCCCCAACGGCCACAAATACGTGATGCGCAAAAAGCCCCCCGGAAAACTCGTCTCGAAAACGGCGCATCAGGTGGAGCGCGAATATCGCGTCATTCACGCGTTGGGAAAGACGGATGTGCCGGTCCCGAAAACTTATGGGTTGTGTGCGGATGAGGGGGTGGTAGGGACGCCGTTTTATATTATGGAGTTTTTGGATGGGAGAATTATAGAGGATCCGGGGATGCCGGGGGTGGGGGAGGAGGAGAGGAGGGAGATGTACGTTTTTCTTTCTTTCTTTCTTTCTTTTTTTTGTTTTCTTCGGGCTGTGTTTTATGGGAGAGGAATGTGGGAGAGGGATATAGATATACTAATACCCTCTGAAATAGGTGGCACGACGCCATCCGCACACTCGCCAAACTCCACCGCGTCGACATATCTGCCGCCGACCTCACAAGTTTCGGCAAAGCAAACGGCTTCTACGATCGCCAAATCAAAACCTTTGGGACAATCAGCGCAGCGCAAGCTTCGACGGTAGATATCGAGACTCGGGAACCGGTGGGCCAGATCCCACATATCGAGGAGATTCTGGGGTTCTTCAAAGATAAGAGATACCAGCCGAAAGATCGAGGGACGCTCGTCCATGGAGATTATAAAATTGATAATTTGGTCTTTCATAAGACCGAACCGAGGGTCATTGGGATTTTGGAGTATGTGTTTTTTTTGTTTTTGTGATATCCTGAATGAAACGAACTGAAAGGAAAAATATCAAGACTAACACCCCCCTTCAGCTGGGAAATGTCCACCATCGGGCATCCCCTCTCCGATCTCGTCAACCTCCTCTCCCCCCACATCGTGCGCCCCGAAAAAAAATTCGCCTCCCTCCCCCAATTTCGCGAAGACAATATTCCCGGTCTCCCCTCGCAATCTGAACTTCTCTCCTGGTATAGGGAAACCGCGGGCTGGGATCCAGAACCTGATTTGGCGTGGGGGGTGGCGTTTGGTTTCTTTAGGAATACGTGTATTTATCAGGGGATTGCGGCGAGGTGGGCGGTGAGACAGGCGAGTAGTGCGCTGGCGGAAGTGCATGCGAAGGCGAGGTGGCCGATGGGTGAGTTGTGTTGGAAGTTTGTGGGGAGGGCAAGGGGGGAAAGGGAGGGGGGAAGTGAGGGGGTGAAGGCGAAGTTGTAGGGGGGAAATAGGGGGGAGGTTCATGGTAATATAGAATAGAATTGACTGAGTGTATGGTATGGGAAGTATAATGTTCATTTTTTGGGATCATATATTTCCTATAGATTGTATGAGCGATCTTCTGTTTTATTATATTATTTAAGAAATTAAGATGGCTTCTCTCTCTTTGTGACTTCTGATACCAAAATTCTAAGAAGCAGGAAGGAAGGGGGAGGGGGAGAGGGAGAGGGTTTATGATAATGCAGAATGAAACTAACTAAGTAGATGATATAATAACGTCGTTCATCAGCAGATAAACCATATCACCTTATAGGCCATTTCATTTTACATATAAAATTTATCTATATATAATCATGTAAAGATACCCCTACGGTAAGGCAGCGATATACTAACTACAGGATTTGGTATACTGGGAGGAGTTGGATAGAGACAGAGACAGATACCAGAAGCAGGGGATCGCAGGGGTTGCAAGGGGGTAAACGGGAAGATTACAGAGGTTCTACAATACAATGGGATTTTACGATAACAGACTCAGAGATTATTTGAAGGGGAGTGGGTTTCTTTTGGTTTTTTTTTATATCTATTTTATATAATTAGCATTATATAAATGCATCGTATAGTCAGTATAGCTTAGCTATAGATAGACTGAATCGATTAAGAATGTATTACTACTATAATCATATATTTTCTTTATTAACTTATAGAATTCTATAAAATTTGAGATATAGATCTTAATTATATTAGTACTATAATAATTTAATCTTTTATTGAAACCTTTAATTATTATTGAAATTGTAAAAGAAAAAGAGTTTTTATAATATTAAATATAACAGTTTCGAATTAGAATGAATTATTTTAGAAAAAAACTAGATACTATAAATATTTTATTTTTATTATATGGATTTTTTATGATTTCTTTTTTTTAATAATAATAATTAATTATTTAAATATAAATATTAAAAAAGCTCGATTTTAATACGTTTTAAAGTAGTCTGTCTATATAGTAATATAGTCTATATGCTAATGAATTATGTTATAGGAATATTAAATAGAAATTTTCATGATTATATAACATAGTTTATCAGTGGATTAGTTATATCAGTGGATCAGCCACTTTTACTTCGAATTATCACTTTAAAGCTATACTATTCAACAATAATTAAATTAATTAATTAAAATTATTAAGAATCTAATAATTTAAAATCTATTATATTATTTTAATAGATTCTTATATTATAACCTATCTTTTCATATTTATTATAATATTAATTAGAAAATACTTCCCCATTAGAATTTCCTTTTTTTTGATATTTATTATATCGAATTTGAATATCAATTTTTTATTAAGATAATATATTAAGAGCCTTTTATTCAATAAACACTCCTTCTTAATATAATTGAGTTTTTTTGTGTATTAATATTTGCTTAATATTTTATTTACTATTTAAAGTATATAATTCTTTATATTTAAAAGTGTGTTTTTATAAACTAATCTTTTTATACCTTTAGTTAAAATTAATATAGTTTTAAATATAAGTATAAAGAAACTTACTTAATAATAAATTATTCAAGATTTAATTAATATTGATTAAGAAAGAGCTTTAATTAGGTTATAAAGGGTTTAAGAGATTTATTAATTTAGATTGAAAGAGGGGAGGTGTTACGGGAGCTGCCTCTAGGGTCACGTGGAAGTGTCTAGAGATCTCTCGAGGTGGTTTAGACTAAACTTCAAGTAGGAATTCAATAAGGTTGTAACTGGTTGCAATTCTCGTAACTATAGTAATGAAACTAGTGATTGTTCTTGAGCACGAAGCTCTACATTGTAATGAAACCCATTCCCTATATAGACCTTCATATTGAAGTCGACCGACAAATCGATTGGCAAGTCGATCGATAAGTCGATCGGCTTTTGATCATATAACACTTGTCCTGTGATTCCTATTGTCCTATTTTGTCTTTTTATCCTGAAACTTAATCCCCTGGGACATTACTAATCCTAATGAAGCCTTCTTACTTATTATGTTCTGTCTTTCCTAAGACCTACTATCCTGGGAACTATGTTCTAGGTTTCTAGGGTATCCTATAACTAATATTATATATATGCCTAAAACATCTCTTAAGTGCCTAATGTCCCTTGGTATATTGTAGCTGAATCATTAAGGCCTATAATACTATTATAGCCTATAAGTCAGTGATTCTACAGCCTGTTACTAATCCGTTGTAATACTTTTCTTGTTACAGAAAACTCTATGTTTTATATACCGATCATAAAAAGCTTTACTTTAGTATAATAGTAATTTAATTTCATCTAATCGAGCGACTTTATTACTTATTCAGAGTATAAAAGATAGATATAATCCTTGAGATTATATCTTAGACTAATCTAGTCTATTATAACTTATTCTTATTATATTCTATTTAAAGTAATTAAGTAATATAGTTATTCTTTATAATATCTCTTTTATTATATTATTTAAAATTTTGAAATAGATTTTCTTTATAATTATTAATATTGAAATCTCAAGAGAGAAAGAGGGAAAAGAAAAGTAAAGTTATAGAAAGAAAGATTTTTATTAGGAATTAGGAGGAGGTTTATAGTAATATAGAATGAAACTAATTAAGTAGATAATATAATATAGTTTATTATTATGTAGACTATATTATTATAAAGACTACTTTATTTTCTATAAAAAATTCGTTTATGTATAATTGTATACTTTCTTTATTAATTAATAGAATTTTCTAAAAACTTTTTATATAAGATCTAATATTTCAATCATTTTCAAAATCTAATTCTTTTTTTAAAATTCTAATTACTATTAAAGTTTTAAAGAAAAAGAGTTTTTATAATATAAAGAATAATAATTTCAAGCTAAAATAAACTATTTCAAAACAATCTAAATATTATAAATATTCTATTTTTATTATAATTTTTTATAATTTCCTTTTCAAAAATAATAATTAACTATAAAGATATAAATATTAAAAAAACCTTGATTTTGATATATTTTCGAAGTAGTTCACATGATGATATGACCTATATACTAATGAACTACGTTAGTATGAGAATGTTAAACAGTTCACGTTTCTAAATAATTAAGTTCTGTTTTATTATATTATTTCAGAATTCTAAATAAACTCTTTCTCTTTTATTATTAAAACTAAAACTTTAAGATAGAAAAGAAGGAGAGAAAGTAAAAATGAAATTATTAAAAAAGAGATATATATATATAAACATATAATAAAAAAAGAAAAGAGAAAAAAAGAAGAAAAAGGAAAGATAGTAAAGTTATAAGAAGATATTTATAGGAGTCTATAGAAAGATATATATATAAAAGAAAAAGAGATTGTACAAGTTAAGTGAATATATAATATCAATTCTTTTTCTCTTTCTCTATTTCTATCAATAAATACTAGAATCTTAAAAATCAAACTTTACTTTCTTACTTTTCCTTTTTATAACTCGAGATTATCTAGGATTATTAATGTATGAGTAGGTAATTACTTACTTACTTACTTACTCATCTATTTATAATAATGAAATCATTAGAATCTCAAGACTAATATATAAGACTACAATAAGTCATTAGAAAGTCTAGTAAATAAAAGTATAGCGAATAAAGATCTATTGAATAAAAGTCTAATAAAAAAAGTCTAATAAATATGTTACGAGAGCTGCCTCTAGGATCACGTGAAAGTATCTAGAGATTTCTCGAAGTGGTTTAGACTAAACTTCAAGTAGGAATTCAATAAGATTATAACTAATTACAATTCTCATAATTATAGTAATAAAACCAATGATTATTCTTGAGCACAAAGCTCTATATCCTAATGAAATTCATTTGTTATATAGACCTTCGTCATTTGGAGCCTCTAGGATCCGTATGCTCCTGGAGCCCGTAGCTCCCTAAGGCTCCCTCATATGACACGCGAATGTGTCATGTGATGTCTGTCGTAACAAAATGAAAGCGAAAGAAAATAGAAAGAAAAACTATCAATATAATTAAGGATTTCTTTAAAGTTTTGAGTTCTTTTATACATATATATATATAAAGTAAAGAGGAAGATGTGAGATGGAGATATAAGATGAAGGATATAAGATACTTTTTTTTTTGAATCGGAGTAGATTGGATTAGATTAGATTAGATTAGATTATATTACACTTATATCTACAAGCAAATACCCTCCCTCAAACTTCCAATCCCCATCAAACACAAGAATCAAATCTTCATTCCAGATCTCATATCACATTATTCCAGAAACCACATCTCATCTCATTACCTCGCATCACATCACATCAAATTTACTTCTCCTTACTAACCCCCTAAACTCCACACTACCATTCTCCCTCAAAGCTCAAAGCTCAAAGCTATCATCCTCAAAGCTATCCTCTCATTCATCACCCACACCCCAAAACTCGTCCTCCCTCCATGATTGAAAGTTAAGTTATATTTTCAATTTCCATTTCCATTGCTATGTATTACGCTAAGCTGAACTAATGAGCTAAGCTATACTCATGATCTCCTATGATATGATATGATGGCATGATGTAATATCCCCTTCCCTTCCCTCTCCCCCCCCATTCCCGTGTTCCATTGCTATCGCTTGAAGATAGAAAGAAAAAAGGAAAGATAGAAAAAAGAAAAAAGCAAATCCCCTATGTAAGATTCTAATGAATCACCCCTTTACGCCCCGCGTAATCTATCAACCCAGACCAGAGTCGACCAAACCAGACCACACCAAACCGAATAACCTCAAACCCCGCATTCCCACCCCCGCCCCCCATATCCCCCCTCTATCCCCCAACCCTAAAGCCTCTTCCAAAGCACATCCTTCTCAAAGATTCTCACCCCCGGAATATCATGAAACATCAAACCATCCAAACTCTGCACCTTCAATCCTCTACTCAATCCCTCCCCTCCCAAAAACATCCTCTCACTCTCACTCTCACTCTCACTATCACTACCCACGCCCTTCAAACCCTCTTTATACATTTCCAC